CCCTACTTTTTTGAAAGACTAGAATAGATGTCTCCCAAATAGGACACTAGACATGAAATGTCAATCTTACACTTCTGATTGTCAGAATCTTCAATGCACTTTAATTATTAGTAATAACAAGTGATCATTCTTCATAAGTATTTGATGGTTCCATGGGACGATAATTTGCCATCTTTACATAATTCATACCACATCCTGGTGAAATAAGACATGGCTCACTAAATAACATCATAGGAACCACAAACTGTTTTAACAAAAATGGAATAGAGAATTGTCTTTGTTCTCTTCAGAGTTACTTTCGGTTCATGTATTTATAAGGTGTCCTTTTTAAAAAAAAATGGCATGAGTATATGAAATTCATCTAGTGATTTCTACTATTATTCTGCAAATGGTTTGGGGGAAATATTTTTTGTAATAACTGATAAGCTTAGAGACAATGACATTTTCTACTATTTGAAGGGTCTCTTTATGTTGCGTAAATAATTTGCACTAAACACATCAGCCTATTTAACTTTTCTGGTATCATTTCAAAGTGTTCTTTTTTCCCACTGTGGAGGAAATACAACTTCAGTCGTTTTAAGTGGAGCATATGCCACTGACATAGCCGTGGCTTAACATTCTGTTTTGTGTCTTGTGTTTGTTTAGGCACCTTAACAACGAACATGCATTGGACGACAGAAGCACTGCCCAGTGTCGAGTGCAAATGCAGGTGGTGCAGCAGTTAGAAATACAGGTTTGTCAAAGCCTTCCTTAATGGACTCCTTTCTCTGACTTCTGGTCGTTAAATTGAGTATTGGGCAGATCCTGTGTCTTTTAACACAATGACTCATAGAAATAGAAGGAATTTTAGATTGTTTATAGTGATAGAAATGATTGATAACTCAGGGTGGATTGTTGTAGTTTAATGTACTTACCACTTAGACTTACTATAACCTTTAGACTATATCATATACATTTGGCTATCCCAAAGGAGTCAAATCTAAGTTTCCATACGAAAGGTTAGACCCAACCCCCCAGTTGGATATAATTTTATTGCAGAGACAGTTTTTACATGAGCTAATCTTGTTTTTTTCCATGAGATTTTATATTATAGCAAAAAGCCTTTACAGTATCATGCCTGTAATTTAATACTCTAAATAAAATCTTTTCCTTTTCTACCTCTAGTGTATTTTTAATTAAAGATCTTGCAAGAATCCTTAAGAGTTGGAGTAATGGCACATCATTTACAATATCACAGATGGTAATATGTGTATTGTATCAAATGCTGCTAACTTAAGTTTAAAAACATTACTGTTAATATTGAAACAGAATTTTGCCAAAAATAAATAGAGCTCATAAAACTGATCATAAAATAATTATATTACCCTCAATATGATTCTTGCTACATTTTTTCTAACCCTCTAAGGCTTCCTCTAGCATTACATCTTAAGATTATTTTTTCTCAATCAAACCAATACCTTGTTTCAGTTAATTAAACATACAATTTATTTGTCTTCATACTTTGCTACGCCTTAAATTGTTTTAAATTCATCATTCACTAAACGCATAAATGTCATTGCTTTTTTCCAGGGAGCTCCTAAAAATATTTTGACTTGTAAAATAATCAAGAACACATAAAAAGCATTGTCGCTGCTGTCGTTTAAAAAGCTTTTTTGTAAACCTGTTTACCATTTATAAAAGGTAGACTAAAACTAAGAGTTTGGCTGATGAGACAGTCTGCAGTGTGACCAATTATGCCTCTTTTTTTTTTCCTGATGTGTCTGACTGATGGAAAAGTAAGGTCCGTCACTTGTAATGAGACCCAGCGCAAGTGTGGATGCCTACTCCGTGGCAGAGTTCAGTGTTTCACACTGCCCGGTCTCTGTCACTCTATTGAATTAGATTGATGATGGCAGATTGCAGGGGGCACTAACTGGACCTCAGTGGGAATGCATGAAGTGTGGAGACAGTCCTGGCAGGCACTTCGCTTTGAGAACCCTTCACCCCTTCACAGCTGCTGGCACTAGTCCATAGCTAACAGTGTCCACAGGACTTTAAAGAGACACCATGGGCCTTCTAATTTATGGTTTCAGTAACTTGTTACTGTTGAGGCAACTGTGACCTCAATTCTCTTATTGACAAAAAGATGAAGTGTTATTTGTTTTCTCTGACCTTTTAACATAAGGAAAGCTATAAAAGTTTTTTCCCCCCTCCATAGCTAAAGTTGCATTTCCTCCCAGATAAGTTCCTACAGACACAGACTTTTATATGCAGAAATCATTACTCGGAGACAAGCTCAATGATAAGATGTATCACTGCAATAAAATAGCTGTATCAGTCATTTCTAAAATGCTTCTGATCTCACTTTTTCTTAACAGCTTTCTAAAGAACGCGAACGTCTTCAAGCAATGATGACCCACTTGCACATGCGACCCTCAGAGCCCAAGCCGTCTCCCAAACCTGTAAGTGCATATTGCTTTATAAACAGTAAATAGCTCTACCGATGTAACAGACTAAGAAAATGAACAATTTAGCGACAGTTAGAAAACAATGAGTGTGATGAAAAATATGGCAATAAAATGAAAGTAAAATGCAATCGCTTGTCAAATTGTATGTTTCTTTTAAAGTAATGCTATTTTTTACAAAATCTATCCAATCTACACCACGGGTGACACTAAACAAAGTACACCTATCAGTGCACAAATCACCGCCTTGAGGCTGAAGCCAGAGAGAATATCTTTCTGTGATAGGTTTACAGATATTAAAAGGAAACCCACTTTTGAGCAACCTGTAAAGCAGAACAGTACAAATCACAACTAGAGAGGTATGTGGTATGCCGAAGAGGATTTGGATAAATCATCAGATACATATGAATAGATTTTTTTATCAAATGCTTTGTCAAAATGTCATAGTATTTTTAAAGCCAATCTTGTTCTCTTTCTTTGGTTGTTATTTCAGTTAAGATGTATTGCACATGTTGGTACATTTTACCACAGAGTACATGT